CTTGTAGCATAGCTCTCAACGAATGTAGTCCTATAAATAAATGAATAAAGAAATTGTGTAATAAAATTAAAATGCCTCTGGCTGGTCTAGAACCGGTGACCTCTCGCTGTAAAGGCGAGTGTCATAACCATTATCACGGAGGCTTATGGTAGAACATATGTATATATGTTCAAATATGATTGATTTGCTATTTTGCTATAGATCAGTGCCTTCCATCTAACTGTCTTCAGCCAGCGTATATCAGTGTTTCATTGGTGGACAGGTCATTTAGCTTCTCTTTATGGTATCCTTGTACCGAAGCCTATACTAGGTCTGCCTCTTCGTCTAAAGCCGCCTGTTAGCTTTGAGAATAGGATTTGTCTAGGAAGTCCAGTTTCGAACCTGGCAACATGTCCAACCCATCATGACAGATACTCCCATCTAAATCCAATATCAACTTTATTGTAGTAAAACATCTGTAAATTATTAAAAATAGTTTTATTTTAGCTTATTTTATTCTTTCAAATGGGCATATTAATTTTTTATTTTTTTAGGTTTTTTTCTTGACTTTTTGTGTGTTATATATTATAATTGACAACTTTAACGTTTAACGTTAACAACTTGCCTGTGCGATGTTATACTTTTAGTCTAATGTACCATAGCTTTAAATTATTCCAATTCAAACATTGTCTTGTATTATGATTTGTGTTTATTCTTGTAACCCCATGATTGATATCATGAACCAATTGAGTTTAAAACAGAGTTGAAAATAAGGTATTACAAGAACAATTTTTAATGGTCCTATTTTTTTTTTCTTTCCAGCCTGACCTTATTGAAAATCTTACTCAGCATTTTCCTAATGGGTAGAGGCTGCAAATACATTGCTGATTTCAAGTTACATGAATCTTCTCAGAAGAAATACAAATAAAAATTGAAGCACTTTATTGAACATAGGTTCCATTTGTACCAGAACCGTTGCATTCCTTAACATTAATATTTGAATGTAAAATAAAATTAAAGGCCATTAAAAACCAGCAAACACAATACTGTCAGTGACACTACTTTAATAGAAAGATACTTTGGCATGGAAAACAATTAAGAATCAGACTCACTTCATTTCATCCTTTCAAGGGAACTTATTGCTCTCATATTACACATCAGAATGATAAAAACAGGTAAAATATAGTTCAAAATACTGTAAGAAAGCTAAGCTGATACTAATAATCCTTTTTCATATAATTTACATTGATAACACGTACACATATTATTGTTTGATAAAAACGTACTGAATAAGACCACCTGATTACAGTTTGGTTTCAACTAAGCTGTGAGACCAGGCTAAGTTAGACGCTGGCATACTCCCTTAGACTTTTCCCGTAACGACCATCATTCTCAAAATACTGCATACTAAGTAATAACCAGATAGCCTTCAATTGAATATAATAAAGCAGGTATGAAGGGCCCTTGATAGACTTTTTGGTAAACCCTGCCCCTTGTTGCTAAAAATATTTTTGGTATTATATTTAATAAAACATCATGAAAAAAACTTGGTTAGAGATAAATGGTCACGAAACAACCAATGAAAGCATAAATTAACACATGTTAAGTGTATTACTGTGAATCTACTATTAAACTTTGTACTGTATATGGCAAATACAGTAAAATCAAAATAATGTATTCATTAAGCACTTAGGACTATGTGTAATAGGCATACTTCAATTCCAATACTGAATTTTCCTAGATATTTGATGTTAAGGATTTATTTAAGATAAACCCATAAGCAATCGATAACAATTTTGTGTGTACACTTAATATTGTAATCAATATTATTAATCTTGTTAAAAAGATCTAGCTTGAAACATTCCATAACTGCAATTAAAACCATCACTTTGTTGGTAACGCGACATGTAATATGTGTATAATAGTAACTGGGTTATATTCTTGGCTACTATTATTCATTTTGTTAGAAAGAAGATCATTAAATTTTCAATGTAAAAAACCATAATTTTTATTGACAGCACACATATGTCAAAAATTACAAGAAACACAATTTAGCACGAAAACCAATACAAAGCAAATAAAAATAATCACTTTATTGATGATGATAAATAATAACACTATACTGTTAGTATTCCTGCTGTTGAAGAAAGATACACTATTTCCGAAATGACTTTGGTGAAAGAAAGCACATTTTAATACCAAAAAAAAAAAAAAACACACATAGTGTGTTGAATACTGTAGTTTCAATGAAAGATACTTGATACTTTGGCATGGAAAATAAAAGCAGTTAAAACAAACCTGAATTGAAACCACACATTAAAATTACTTAAGCAAAAAATCTGCCTGTCCTGACTGAAAGCCTTTAGTTTCATCGATAAAAAGCTGGTACGATTCTTTCAAATGTTCGTGTTTTTTAATCCACATGTCTTTCTCTTTCGTTATCAGTTCGAGTTGGTTTTCAGTGAGTTTGTGGGCTACTTTCTCTTCTTTAATTCTTGTCTCTAATTTGCTAATTTCTTTGGCATGTAACTGTTTTAACCTTTGAATTTCTGTTGCTGCTTTTTGCCTTTCTGTTTTCTGTGCATCACAAACAGCTTTGTTTTTGTCATCTGTTAACCTTTTCTCAATGGTCATCAATGCATTTGCTCTGTCTTCTCTTGATAGTTTTGCAGCTGCTTCTCGTTGCTTGGCAACCTCCCTGAAATTGATAGAATACAATATTTTTAGAAATGTGCACAACACTATGAACATGTACTGTATTTTATCACATAATTTGAACACAGGACCCTGGATTTAGAAGGCAAGCATCTTAACTGCCAAGCTATATCTCCACAACTCTGTTGTGTGAACTTTCCTGCACAACCTTGCAAACTATTGGCCATAAATCTTCTGATTTTGCCACATCTGAACTTTGGAATTCACTCCCTGCACACATTAAAAACTGTTCTTCTGTTGCTTCACTTATTATTACTTAAAACTCACCTTTTTCATCATTAACTTGCACAGCACCTTTGATAATGCACCTCTTTCGTTTAAGTGATGCATACATTCTAATATTATTATTATTAACTGTTATTATTTGTTTGACATTACTTTTTTTAACCTTTGAAGATTGTACAAAGTACTGTAAATCATTTTCCTCAATATTATATAATCTTTACTTCCTTCTGCATTTCTAGCCACAACTTAAAAATTGAGGAAGGTAGAAAGTTAAATATTAACTTCGATGATAGAATTTGCTTTTGTAAGGGGGATATTGAAGATGAATTACATTTATTACAGTGATTTATGAGAAAAATACATTCCACTATATTATGTTCGTTTCCCTACACAACATAACTTTATTTCCTTAACGAGCTCGCACAGTCCACTAATAATACAAAAAATATGCATTTATTTACACCATGCATTTAAGAGGAGAACGGAGATAGATATCCTTTTATAACTAACTATTTGATTTTCCACATTGTTCGCTATTATTTTATTATTCTTTATGTATACAAAGGGCCAATGGCCTAAAGTTGATGAATAAATTGATTGATTGATTGATTGTAATCATGCATTCTTTCTCTTCTTTTATGTATATACTTACACTGAGGAGCATTTTGCATTGTTTCTGTTGAATCACTATAAAAACTTTGATACAGTAATTTAGTTAACTTACTTGGCAACTCTAGCTGCCTCTTTTGAAGCTAAAGTCTTCTCTTCATCTCTTGTATCTTCTATAGCTTTTATTCTCTCTTCTTCACATTTTGCGATTGCTTTTTGGACTGTCTCACGTAAAATTGATTCCCCCGACTCTCGTTCTGCACGCACCTGCTCAATTGCCATTTTTTGCATTTCACCTTCTATCCGCAGAGCCTCTTCCTAGGAAGGAAAGACAAAGTTTTGTAACTTCAAATTAGCACTTAAAAATTGATAGTGTGAATTAAAGCCCTTGGTTTATGTTTTTTGCAAACTTTTGATAGGCTTTTTTTTTTTAGATGGGCTTCTTTTCGAGACTACTTTTGCAAAGTAAAGAGTGGGGGGGGGCTTCTTTTCAAAATGAATGTTGTAAATTTTGTGATTTGTATTATAAAACCAAAAATAAGGCCACTGTAACACCAATCTGTATCATGGAGTGTATTTGACTGGCATTAAATTACCTAAACTACTTTATAAACCAAGCTTGTATTTAACTTATTTTGTTTTCTGAAATTCATGTACAGTGTATGTACTGTACTATCTCAAAAAATAAAAGCGTATGCTATCTTGAAAAGAAGCCCATAAGCCTCTTTTCGAGATGGGCTTCATTTTGAGGCTAATTTTGCAAAGAAGGGGCTACAATTCGAGATGGGCTTCATCTCGAGATTAAGTCCACTGGGCTTCAATTTGAGGTTTTACGGTATATTCACGCTGTAAATGGAAATTTGTCAAATTTTAAAAAGCTGTCAATTACCTTAAGATTTCGTTCATGCTGAGTTTGTAAATCTTTCAATGCCTTTTCCTTTTCCTGCAAGCACTTTAGTTTTACCTTTTGGATTTCTGAATCTTTTAATCTCTCTCCCTCAGCCCACACAGAGTCTTCGGCAGCTCTTATGGCAGCCTCTCTTTCAGATAATGCATCTTGTTCCCATTTTGTATGAATTGATTGGCCAATACCTGTATTAATTGATGAAAATTGGTATTAAAACAAAGATACTAGAAATACAAGATAGAGCACTCGTATAGCAAAAATGAGGCAGAAATTGGTCCAGACGTACGCGGCGCCCTTCTCTTTTTATAATGCAAGTTTTCTATACTTGGTCCAGACGTACAGGGCGCCCTTCTGTTGCTAAGTATATCGATATATTGTTTTCATTTATTTATGCCTACTTGTTTGTATCTCGTGCATAATGACACTACTAGGTTAATAAATAAAAAAATTGTTATGCGTCAATTTTGAATAAGAATGATCAAAGGTTTTACATGCATTTATTTTTGCTAAATTACTATTTGTTGTTTATTGATCTTTAAAAATTGCTGTTATATATACAGTATATAATATAAATCGTCAAAGGTACATATACAGTGTTTGATGATTTATATTATATTTATTCAACAGTGTTAACGGCTAACTCCTTTCAATATCAT